GGGAGAAACAAGTATTATGGTAGTCATTATTTTGAATGTTTATTTGCATGAGATTTTTCAATACTTGATTTCTTGTTCATTTTTTAACAGCTACTCCAATTTTACAGGTGTTTGGGTGTTTTAGCTTTTATAGGGATGTGAACAAAGTCACATAAAATGAAGTTTTAAGTTAATATATTCATATTGCTCATGAGCCTTTCTGCGAGTCATAGAATTGTTATTATATTTCAGAGAAGCATAACTGGTCAGTAGAAGGGTGGAGACAGATTGAAAAGCCAAAAATTTTTAAGGAATTTAAGGAGTGGAAACTAGAAAAGGTGTTAGATAGATATAAGGCTTCTCTGTTTATGAGTGTATTAAATATAAGGTTTTGAGCCACATTTTAAAATAGTTTTAAATTTTTGTTGAATGTTAAAAACATTTCTTCTGTAGCATGACCATAAATATTTATACTGTGAGACAAATAGAATTTCTTCTACCTGAATGGTCATAATTTGTTTTCATTGTGGCATAGTTTAGCTACATTTTGAATAACATTGATAAGTACCTGTCATGTGAAACTATTGAAAAATAAACGTCCCAGTTTCACATTTTTTCTTCTGAAAATTATTTGATGTAGAGTATTAAAGAGAGTGTTTACAGATCCAACTGGCTTATTTATATATTTGTTTGCTTTCTTAGATGAAGCTGTAAGCATGTTTATGTTAAAATTCTGTTAATTAACTTAATTCAGTTAAAATGCCTATCATATATATTATATTTTAAAAAGGAATGGTATTGCGAAGATTCCAAAATATTTTTTTGAACAAGCACTCGCATCTTGATGAAAATTGTTAGAATAGAAAAACTTTGAATCATTCTGCCCTCAGTAATCATGCCAATTAAACTGGTACAGTTAACACTTGTGCAGTTGGCCAGGAGTCAAGAATTTAGCACTTCCGAGACTGCTTTTCAGCAGAATTTCAAACCAACTCAATAGATGATATTAATGCCATTGAATTTTCAGAATTAAAAACTTGCAAGTAGAACATCTGATTCTAGTTCTATGAGTATCATGCTTACCACTTTTAGTAACCCATGGTTAGCTTCAACCTCTGCTTCATGGTGTTACTAAAGCTGCAATTATCTCTTGAATTTCATGGGGCATTCTACAAAATAAGAAGGGATGTCCTATAGAATCTGACTACAGGTATGATGTCTCTTAGATATGAATGTTTTTACATTATACTAAGAATCACAGTAGATAGGTAGAATGCCACTATGCTTCCTGAGCATTGGTCATTGCCTAAAGTTACCACATTTATAAATTAGGATAGCATATTCAGCCTCTGACCTTTTCATTTTCATTACATTCTCTTGGGATTTATTAACACCACTTGATTTACTTGGTAATTACATACTTAATGTAGATAATTGTCATATTGATCTCTAGCAAGTGCTCTACTTAGATGTTTGTTGAATTTAACTATATAGTACCCACCATATTTAGGTGCTGTGGTGAAGGCTGAGTAATAAAAGAAAGTTTCAAAGATTGCATTTGCTAATTAGAAAGGTTAGACTGAATTTAACTTCTGTGTGACCACTTTTGTCTTTTCTTTCTTCCACTTAAACTGTATCATTTTTTAATTGAGGTAACATTAGTTTCCAACACAATATGATTTAGGGGCACATGTTACCATATCTGGCATACCATCAAAACACCAGTAGTCTTCTGCTATTGTCTATTGGGCATCCTCCTCATTTTGCTTCCCACCTCAACCCTCTGCTTCTGGTATCCTCAATTCTGCAGGCAGACTTTTGGAATTTTTTATTGGTTTAGTTTTGCCAGTTCTTTTGTTTTGTTTCTTTATATTCCATTAGTAAATAGAGTTATTTTTCTCCTTCTGACTTACTTTGGTTAGCATATTCCCTCCTAATTCTATCTATATTGTTACATACGGCAAGATTTCATCTTTTTAATAGCTGAGTAGTAGTACATTTTTTTAAGTGTGTGGGGGGGGTGCATGTATACATGTACCACACCTTCTAATCTGTTCATCTGTCATTAGGGACTTTCATTGTTTCCATAGTTTGGCTGTTGTAAATAGCACTACAGTTAACATAGGAATGCATATATCCCTTCATATTTGTGTGCTGGTTTATTGATAGTTACTGAGGGAGGAAACTGCTGGATCACATGACAGATTTATTTTTAATATTTTGAGAAAGTTCTGTTCTGTTTTCCATAGAGTTTGGACAGGAAAGTCCCTGTTGAAGAGATTTTACATTCTCCATTGTATATTCTTGGATCCTTTTCTATCAATTAACTGTCTATGGGGGGGGCAGTTTTTAGGCTCTCAATTCTATTACATTCAACGGTGTATCTATTTTTAATTCTAACACCATATTGTTTTGATTACCTAACTTGTAATATAGTTTGGGAGCCTGGGAATTTGGCACCTCTTTTCCATTTTGTCAGAATTATTTAGCTATTTAGGGTCTTTTGTGGTTCCAGATAAATTTTAGTAATTTTTTTTCTATTTCTTTAAAAAATGCCATTGAAACTTTTATTGGGGTTACATTGGATCTATGTAACTGTGTGATATGGCCATTTTAACAGTGTTCATTCTGTCAATCCATGAACAAGAAATAGCTTCCCATTTCTTTGTTTTCTATTTATTTTAATAATATCTCATACTTTTTGTTGCACAGGATTTCACCTTCTTTTTTAGATTTATTCCTAGATATCTAGCTGGTTTTGATGCCATTATAAATGGGATTGTTTGCTTGATTTCTTTTTCTTCCAGTTCATTGTTTATATATAGGAACACAACAGATTTTTTTTTAAATTTTATTTATGCATACTAAAACTGGGGTACAGGCCAGCAGTTTGTTGGGGGGATGTGGGGGGATTCACCAGAATGGACTGGGCGAAACAAAAGAGATGTGCTGCTCCATGTGGGTCACCTCCAGGCTGGGGATTGAACTCATAGGGCAGTGACTGTGAATAGCTCCACAGTGCTGCACTTTAACCCCTTGTGCCAACAAGGAGGCCCCACAACAGATTTTTGTGTATTGATTCTGTAGCCTACCACTCCCGATACTGTTTAAGTGTTTCAATAGTTTTTTTAGTAAGGTCTTTGGGGCTTTGTATGTATGTTATCATGTCACCTACAAATGTGATAGATTCACATCTTTTCCAATCTGGATTCCTTTTATGTCTTTTCCTTGCCTAATTGCACTAGCTAACATTTCCAATGCTGTATTGAATAGTAGTTTTGACAATGGACATCTTCATTTTGTAGAACTAATCTTGGAGGGGAAACTTTCGGTTTTTCACTATTGAATATGATCTTAACTGTGCATTTGGCATATATGGCCTTTATTATATTGAGCAATGTTTCTTCTACCCCTGTTTTTTCTTTATTGTTTTATCATAAATTGATTCTGGATTTTGTCAAATGCCTTTTCTGCATTTATTATGATCATATGGTTTTTATCTTTCCTTTTATTCCATGGTAAATTACATTGATGAATTTTTGGAGGTTGAACCTGGAATAAATCCTATTTGGTCATGATATGTGATCCTTTTAATGTATTGTTGAATTTGACTAAGATTTTGTTGAAGATTTTTGCATCTGTGTTCATCAAGGATATTGGTCTATATTTTTCTTTTTTGTAATGTCTTTGTCTACTTTTGGTATCAGAGTAATGTTGGCCTCATAAAATGTGTTTGAAAGCAGTCCCTTTTCTTCTGTTTTTGGGAAGCATTTGAGAGGAATGTGTGTTAGTTTATCTTTGGAGTTTTGGTGGAGCTCACTAGTAAAATCGCATTGCTCTGGCATTTTGCTTTTTGATTGCTATTTCATTTTCTTTCTTGTAATTCATCTGCTGTTTTCTATTTCTTCTTTATTCAGTCTGAGAAGATTATATCATTCAAGAACTTGTCCATTGCTTCTAGATTATCCAATTTATTGTCATAAAGATATTTGTAGAGTCTCCTGTAGTTCTCTGTATTTCAGAGATGTCTGCTATACACCCATTTTTCTAATATCATAGTTACCTGGACTAATAACAAAAATTAACATTTCAATCTCTTGATTTTTGAAGTCTTCTTTCAGAAACTGCCAGTATAAAGGCATTACATAGAATCAATGATAAATATCTTGACTGTCCTCCCTTCATTATGTGATTATGTATGTCATGTAACTTCAAGGGATATGAGAATCAGCAGAGAAAACAACCCTATCATGTAATTCTGCCTGGTCTTCCTATGTTGATAGTTTATTAGTGATAGTTTAGAAATAAATTGGATTTGAATAAGAAGTTGAAGGGGTTTATCTCTGAAAATGATTGGACACAATCACAGGAAGGACATACATATGTGTGTGTATGTATTACATATGTGTGTATATATATATATATAAAATAGCATGATGATATGTTATTGAAAATCAAGAAAAGCAGAATGAGGAAACTATCTCCAGTGTCTTGATGTTTCATTTGATAAGACTTTTGGTAAATCTTACAAGGGAGATGGTTCAGGTTACTAATCCTAAGCACACAAAGCTAGAAATGAGAATACTCTTTATTGTGGGAAGTAACTTTGAATCATAAAAGAGTAAAGGAGACATTTTAGTATAGGAACGCTTTTGTCCATCATTTCTCTGATTTGGTGCCAAAAGCTTTTTGAGAGAACATTCAAAATTGTGCCTGTTGAAATGGACAGCTGCTCTATTTCTTTTTAATAGCTAGTTGAAGCACTTTCTGCTATGTCTCTTCTATTGCTAAGATTTAAAAAGTGTGTTTAAATTAAAAGTATTGTGAGACAAAAGCTTTGTTCTGTGGATTAGATAATACTTCTTTTGTGACATTTTCTTTTCCCACCAAAAGTGAGAAGTGAATGCCTTGACTTGATACATCCCATTTCTAATGGAGGACAAGAAGTTATTTTCTCCAATGGCTCACTTCCAGAATTTCTGCCTGAACGTTCTTTGTCAAGTGTATATTCCCTTCTCTAGGCCTTTCTATATAGAGCCCACAAACATCGTCAATGTGAATGATGTCATTCAGAGGGTTAGTGACCATGCTTCTGCCATGAACAAGAGGATTCATTACTACAGCCGGCTCACTGCTCCTACAGACAAGGCACTGGTAAGAGGCAAAGCATTGCTAATTGTCTGAAGTTAAGTTGAAATGAACAGTGAACAATATAAGCCAGGACAACTCCCAGTGTTTGAACTTTTTGCTGGACATCTTCCAAGGACAGCATCATGGAAAAAGTCAGAGATAGTAATTAATACATGTCTTAGGCTTGTTCATTCTTATCTAACCTGGCATGTTGACAGCAACCATATTTGTTGGATTAAATTCTACAATCCCCAATCCTTAGGGTTTTTAGGCTTTAGGTCAATGAATAATATAAATAATGAGGTTCTGTTACTCTGTTCCATTTTCAAGTTTGAAACTACAGAAGAAAAATGTTTTTGGAAATTTTCTTCATTAGTAGGAAACTAAAACACATACATAAATATATTTGTTCCTATTTAGCAATTTTTTTTAATAGCTCAAAAATAAGAGCCACCAAAGGGCAGATACTAACATTTTAGGCTTTGCAACTCTGTAATGCTGTCACATAGTCTTCTTCACTTATGTGCTGTAACCATTAAAAATATAAAACAATTAGCATAAGAAAGGTATAAAAATCATGTTGCAGGTCAGATTGGGCCCAAGGGCCATATTTGTTGACCCTTGGCTTCTGAAAATCTATTTTTGTATTAAGATCAAAATTATAAGTCAGTTAGATTCTTTGAGAATTATCACATATAAGATATTTGGATACTTGAAAGCATAAAGGAAAATGGAAATATTCTAGGAAAAAAATTATTTTAGTAGGTATTAATGATAAGAAAGAAAGAAACCAGCATTCATTAAATGTTTTAAAAGATTCTTTTTTTTTTTTACCCTTAGGCAGTTTGCATTATTTTTCTTATGCTCCAATATTTACTTAAGTATTTGTTATTTATAATGTATTTATTATTCCCTTCTTTACCACAATGACTTCTCAATTCTTTAGTTTTAATTTCCTTACCTACTTCTTTGCTAAAACCATCCTCATATAGGAGTTCAGTACTTGAATTTTGAAATTCCTCTCAGCCTTGCTGACTCTTCCTCCTTTCTAAAGAAAATTAAGAGAAAAATATTTTGGCAGTTACCTATTCTAAGAATTTATCTCATTTCTGATGAACAGTTTATAGTTTTCAAGCTCTTACTCCTTTAGTTCTTCATTTACATTGAAAAAGAGTGCTTACTCTTCAGTATACAGTATGCACGGGAATCATACAGATTGTTCATGGTATTTAGAACTGTTTCGCTATTGTATCTTATATTTTCTATAAGCTCAACTCCTCTATCGCTAAGCCAGTGTTTCTTGCCCAAGTATATCTAAGGCTCCATAAGATGTATTATAGTTAGTTTTCTCCTACTGGCCATCAGTTGGAGTTATTTTGTTGAATTTGACAGCATGGAATTTATTATGATACAGGATTATATGTAGAAAACAAGTACCAGTATATATAGAAATCACTTTGCACATGTACTGGTGCTAGCATTTCTGTTTCTTTTCTTTTTTTTTTTTTTTTTACCAGATTGCCCCAGATCATGTAGTTCCAGCTCCAGAAGAGTGCTATGTATATAGTCCATTAGGTTCTGCTTATAAACTTCAAAGTTACACAGAAGGCTATGGTAAAAACACCAGTTTAGTAACCATGTAAGTAAACTGTTCTTTTTGAACTTAAATTATAAGTGAATGAAGATTTTAGATTATTTTTGTCTTAATTAAAGTGTTTGACAAGTCAAATTCCTTGTTTTCAGTTTTATGATTTGGAATACCATGATGGGAACATCTATACTAAGTATTCCTTGGGGCATAAAACAGGTAATACAATTTTTGGTACACTTTACTTGATTTCCCTCCCTTTTTTTGTATTGTAATTTTTTTAATAAATTTTTTAATAAATGTATGTAAAGGTTATTAAAGAAAATGGTGACAATATTTAATTTTCCATTAGGACACAAGTTTTTATCATAATTGGGATAACATAACATGGTTGGATGTGGAGTTACTCTAATATGATAATACATGTTCTACACTTTTATTTTTAAACAGGCTGGATTTACCACAGGATTGTGTGTCATCTTGCTGATGGGCCTTTTAACACTTTACTGCTGCTACAGAGTAGTAAAATCACGTTGTATGATAAGTAAGAATTTACCACAGTTAAAATAGTGATATGGGTATTAACAGGTATTTCCTGTGAGGTAGATCACCCATGTGTACATTACAGTGTATGAACTATTTTGTGTCTACAGATTTCACTCTATAATTCATGGTATTCTTTTAATGACTTTATTAAGAATTAGTGGCTGCCTTTGCAGGTTGTGGCATTCATTGCAGGTTGTGTTCTTTGCTGCTAATTTTCTTATAAGAATAATTTTAAAAAGTTCTTTGCTGCTAATTTTCTTATAAGAATAATTTTTAAAAGTCATGTTCTTTAAATAGGTCTTTGCTAGAACTTAATTCAGAATGCTGATTCTTATCAAATAGTGGTGATTCTTTGAACTGCCAAAAGTCCTAAATTTTAGAATACTATGAAAATATAAATGTAAGTTTGAATGAATTTTCAAAGTTATACCAAGGTAGTCCTTCCATTCACCTCTACATTCTGGATTAGGAAAATATTTTAAATTTAAAAATTTTTTAAAATAGTTTAGGATCTATGTAAACATAAATTATTTTTTGACTCTTAGCAAGTATTAATGTATAGTCCATGCTGTGTCTTCAATTTTTTTTTTCTGTCTCTCCTAAGCTTTGGTATATTTTCTCTTAATTTTATTATTTATTCATATCCATTACCTATCTATCTACAAATTACTTGGTGCTTTCATAAAAATATTTAGTTCCGGCCCTCCCTGGTGGCACAGCGGGTTAAAGCACTGCACTGAGTTCGATTCCCGCCT